ACTCCAACCACTGAGCCAACCCACCCCCCAGGATGGTTTAATTGAAAATACTGAATGGGGGGATGACGTTTTTAATTTAAAAATAGAAATAGAATTTATTCATCTTTGAGAATTATACACTATACAAAGACACTAGGTACATAATGTAAAATCCTATCAGACTAGTCAAAAAAGTGTTAAGTAAAATACATTAAAAAATAAAATATATATAAATAGACAATTCATGTTAAGATTGGTTTAAAAGTTCAAAAAATCTTCTATACTATAAAATATATTATTTACAAGAAAATCATTAAGATGTTTTCTTAAATCATTACGACTAATTTGATGATAACCTGTAGTATCTTCTAATATGTTACTGAATTTATTGTAACACTTAATCCCAATATATTTTGGTGAATGCTGGCTTATCTGTAGTCGTGAAAAAGGTTGATGGATGTTAAATTTTATTCTAGTTTCATATGAGTGCCGGTCTTTATTTTTCTTAAATATATGTTCATTATCTTTTATCTATAAAATCAGTTGAAAAATAAAAAAAAAAGATAGTGTTAGATCATGACTATGCATTTTCTAATAGACACAATTATCTATAATGTAACTAACTATTTGTGAAAAACACGATAAAAATTACATTTTGTATCGAATGCTTAAAAATTTTCGACACAAAGGAAACTAATTCATATTTAAATGAGACAGAGTGATTAATTTATGAAATCATGGAAAATTAATTAATCCAAATAGTGGTTTGGTTACTTTATTTAAACATGTTGAATACCACTTTGTAAAAAATGTTCAATATGAAACTATAAAGGTCTATGATGGATGCTATAATGACTTTTCCCTTTGCCAAACATAAGGATGATGTTATTGCCCACTGAAGCCATTACGATGTTATTTCATAAGGCAATGTGCTAACATAACAAACTAAGAACTAAAATTAATAGAGAAAAAGAAATTAGCCAAAATAACTGCTTCTTAAAGTTTAGTATATTATTTCAAATTTAATTTTTATGTTATTCAATATATTGGTATATTCCAATTAGTATATGGTACCCCACTTCATATAAAAAATATTTATATATCATTCATAATAATATAATAATTTATAATAAATTTTAATTATTTATAACATTTACAGATGTCGGGAAAAATTTGTAAGAATTGACACATTAATAATCTTCAGCATATTACGCCAAATCATCTCCTCTTCTTTACTGAACTAACTTCAATAGAGTCAGCAACTCCAACAGGAGATTTTGCAAATAACTTAATTAGTCCAGCTGATCCAACCATCGGCTTTAAGATCATCATAAATTTAGACTCCCTACTATCTCGTTCACTTTAAGTGAAATACCCTCTGTGTATGGAGTGATAATTTAAAACTTACAATGGCTATATCTCATATACTAAATATGATATCAGAAAATACTTAAATTCAGTGTATGTATGACACCAGACAAGTAAGTCTATTTACCACAATACTTTATAATTTAATTTTTTTTTCTTTATGAGTGTTTTGTGCAGGCTTTGTTTCTGTTTGCCCCACTTTAGGGACATCACTGCTAATTAGAACCCAACATAGAATGGTCAAATGGGAAATCCTGCCTATGGATCAAAATTAATTACAAAATAAATTATTATTAGATTGACTTTTCTATTATCATCTTTAGTTTAGGAGATATAGCCATTTTAAGTTTTAAAATTATCACTCTGTGTACAAAAAAGCATCTTTATTAAATGAATAAGTACCTAAAAAAAAACAAGCATTATTAAAAATCACAAAAACTGCGTTATTTGAAAATCCATATTCAAGCTCCAGATTTGTAAAATTTAAAAAAATTTCAAATACACATTTAACTTGTTCGATTGTTTATTGAATAAAAGGTCTGTTTCAACAACGATCAGAAACAAATCACTGGGTAGTACACAATTTTGCAGTCTCAATAATCTACTGTGCAGAATCCTGATGTCAGTAACTCATTTCTGAGCATTGTTGGAACAAACCTAAAGTAAATCGAAACCACTTAAAAACAAGCACAACATTTATACCCGAGCATAATTTTTAATTCCTATCAAAATTTTAAATTACTGTATATTTTGTTCTAGTTATTTTAAAATTTAAAAGTTCTTACTCTTCATTATAATTATATTTTTTATTTTCTCTATATACCTACATACTATCTAACATTTTACAAATTTGATGCCTAATTAAGATTTCATCTAGCATTGCAGAACGTGAAACGGTTTTCACATTTGTATAAATCTTCTACATCTGTCATATTAGGATAACAAGATTGTATCTAGACAGACAGTTATTTTTTGAAAATCATAGTTAAAGTTTGTGTAGCCAATAAATTGTTTGATTTTCATTGTGTTTCTAACTCTAATTTAAGAGAAAATCCTATGTGATAAAAAATGCAGAAAGAACTAAGCGACCTACATTTTTAGAATATTTGATAAAGCATAGTAGTAACTGCCAGTTAAAACTTTGTTTCTAGTATTTAGTTTAGGTAAGGGAGACAAAGCTTGGAACAGAAAATACATACTTTTGTTAATTCAGAATTTTTAAATGTTGTTTTATATTATAAATCTTTCTAGGTATCCTATGTCATTTTTTTTTATAATTTTCAATCAAAACTGTTTAAAAACAAAAAGTTTAATAAAAAAATACCCATTATATTAAATACGTTTTATGCTCTAAAACTCACTGTTCTTTTAATGACAGATTTTTTAACCTCTGAGTAAAGTTACATATAAGTATAATCTATAGCCTAATAAGCAAGTAGTTACTTTCAACTTTATTCAGAGGTAAAAAACCTGGCCTTTAATCTTAATATAATTGTGGAGGATGGAGACTACATTTGCTAGGGATTAGGGGATAACGAAGATCTAACTACTATAATGACACTTGCTAAAAACTGTATAAGTTCTATGTACATGCAGATAGATCCATGTGAATAACTTTAGTGCTTCGATATCACAACATTGATAATTAATAGATGGTCACAAAAACAAATTAATTAATATATTCACCAATCTCATTTTTTCCAAAAAGTACAGTTACAACCTTGTTATTCTTTGAGATGTATTTATTATTGATACTTATTAATAAAAATAATAATAATTGATATAGGTACTTACTGATCTTTGGAAACATATATACTTCAGTCCAGTGAGACTTCATTATTTTGGTATAATGCTATTTCACAGAAATGTTTGTAATTCCAATCACTATGTATGGATTTGATTATAGTAGGTAATAAACTAAATGTTTATAGAATATCTTTAATCTGGGCAATGAAAATCACAAAACTAACTTTAAAAATAATAAGCTTCAATCTGAGTACCATAGTTAAGGTCCACTTCTTCATTTTATAATCAGTAACTCACTGTATTGCTGTTTTTACCAAAGCCAAAGGTAATATTTGAACACAAAACAAAATTAGCTGTTTTTTATAAACACCCCCATTTCACTTATTTAGTAGCAAGTCTCTGGCAGCAACTTGTAACTTAATTGGAGCATATTTATTAAATCTTGAACACTTTTTTTGATCGTATAAACGCACAAATCAGTGTAGCTTGTTTAAAAAAAAAAAAAAACACTTATAAGCAACCATCAATAACTATAAACTTATTTGTTGACCATTAATTTTTTCATCTGTACTTCTTCTGATAGTTTTGCCATTTTTCATTTCATATAAACTCGAATTTTCATAGAAGAACTATTTTTATAATTGCACTTTTTCTGACAATAAAAATTTTCAATTTTCCGCCGTAACGACACTAGCGAACCTAGCGGATTTTTGCCCTAAGTACGACCGGTTTTGGTATGTTTTTTTCAGAGAGTTGAAACACCTTTATAGTACACCGTGCCCGAGGCATGTTAAAAGTTTAAAATACTTCAGGTTATAAACCAAGTGTGGACCAAGTTTAAAATAAACCAATCACAAAATAATATTTCTTTTCATAATTCATTTAAAATTTCATGGAAATCATTATATGACTTGCTGTATTGTTGCTTATCCTTTAAAAAATCACACTACCGATATTAAAAAAACTCTGACACTAGAACGTAGTTCATAAATAAAAACATAAACACCTCTAAATAACAATAAAATATTAGATTTTTAAAAAACTAATATTTATGAACATAGTACGAATACTAGAATATTTTCTATGACGTCACTCCGTCTTTAGCAACCGGGATAAGGCCACTGTTTCAGTTAGTGATGTAAGAATACGTATCCTAAAATCCGTTGAATCTGAATATTAAAAGGATCCGGATATTCCGGAATCAATAGTGTAAATTCGAATACGAATTCGGTATCAAAAAGGACAAACAAAATCGTAATACACGAATCGAATGCTGCATGTTCTGTGTTATGACAAAGCCGATTGCGGGTTTTGCGGGTGGCAGCCGATACGAAATCGGAATTCGGATTCGGAATCGTCTAGCGTTGTTGCAATTCATAATCGGTTAGTCGGTATGCACTGCATATTCTAAAGGTAACATGAAGTTATATAAATAATATTCAGTTAATGAGAAATTTTGTTTCTGATATTATGATAAAAAACAAAATATTTGAGATTTGTCTTGTGTTTATTATTCTAAAACATTAAAAGCTCCTTTTACTTCACTCTCACACATAAATTCTGCTAGGGTTGACAACATTCCCGGTTCCGATTCCCAAGGTCGCGGTGTATTTACGGTTGCGTATTATTATGATTTCACACACGGAATATGGATACGTATCCGGATGATGAATCTGAATATCTCTCTCTACGTATTATCCGAATACTAAAAAGATACGGATATTCACAACACTAGTTTCAGTCTACGTACCGTGGACTTTACCAATAACTTTAAAGGTATACTTGTTGGTAGAGAGGGAAGCACGTCGAACGGAAAATTCGGTAAGTGAAGATACTCTAAATATGCATTTTAAGTAGCCAGCCTAGTTTACATAAACATATTATGATTCAAAAAACTATTAACTTACTGTTAAAATGTCAAATCTATTGGGAATATTATCTGCGCAAGCAACGTGTAAAGGTGATCCTATGATAGGAGAACTGCAATTCACATTAGCACCTGAAATCAAACCAAAAATGTAATTAACATAGAAAAAAATTATTATTAATGAAAAGGTATATTTCCAAATTATCCATTAGATATATACTGTAATGAAATTTTATTTATTTGTGGGAATTTCCTTTCATTTATGTCCATGAGAATGTTATTAAAAGCAATTTAGCAAAATTCTCATTAATATTAATAATAAAGAAAATATGAATATGGTATTTTTAAAGCCACTTTTTATTTTGTCATAAATAGAATTTCAAAAGTCAAATTTGAAATAAAGTTTTATACAAATATTGGTTTACTGGGCATTTCATGTTTTTTTAATAAATTTATTTAAAGCGATCTATTTCTAATTTCGTTGTATTTCAAATATATAATAGTTATGCAACGGTCATGTAATAACCATTACATGAGAGTTGCATACACTGTTTTTTCTACACCCGATAAATAATCAAGAACTATAAATATTATATTTATATTGGTATTGAACACAATAACAGTAATTACTCGTATTTCTATAAAAAATTCTACCAAATTTTAATTAATGATATAACCTCGGGTATTACCATAGATTTTTGGGGCAAAATATTTTGTACTGCATTTTCTGCTTTCTTCGATATGTTTGGAGGAGTCTTCTTATCGCTGATATCAGACATTTTGATAATATAATTATCGAAGTTTAGCTATCTATGAAAATTTAATACGTTTTGACACCTAAAACAATTACATAGGAACCTAGGACAAACATCAAACAGCATGCTTGATTGAAAAATTGTAGGTTTCTATTGATTAAAAATCTGTATCGTTATGAAAAATCTTTATCATAATGGGTATTATTATGAAACGGATTAGGGGCATATAAGTGCAATATTATAATACGGGTGTAGAAAAAAATATTTTAAATGAAGGTATATTTCCATTATGAAATTTTCAAATTTTATTGGTTATTAAGGAACTGTATGTTTTAATTTGTACAACTTCTCTAATTATGGTGTTATTTATTTAAATATTATAACACTTTGAAATAAGTATATGTTATTTTACCCCCAAGCGGTATCTCCAATTATACATTTTTTTAATCATGCTTCAAAGAGTTTTCATTTGATACCCCACACGTTGACGTTAGAAATATTTTTTTAATTTTTCAATGTAACTCCCAAAAACTAACATCCAAGATAAAAAGCTAACTTTTTAGTTAATTTCTGTATTTGGGCCACTACTTAAATTAACTGTTTCAAATTTTAATTGTATGTGTCAAATAGTTTTTTAGTAAAACGCCTGTAACATACAGTCAGACACCGAGGTAATTTCATAGGTGTTTCTTTTTTGCTAAATTGGAGACAGAATATGAAAAATACCCGTACCCCAATTGACAAACCCTTAAAAGGTTTTTGATAATCTTAATACCTATTTTAATATCTTGGTTTGTTATTTAGGTGTTTTATAAAAATATCAATTATTTCTAGAGCCAACGGCAGATTTGTTACTTATTTTCTTATGGCTGAATTTGTTATTAAAGTGTGCGAGGTTCAGAGCGGGACGCTTAGATAGCTACGGGTATTACAAGTAGTACCTACGTACCTTCCAAAAACTTGACTCATTTTCTTAACATTTTCGTCATGCTTATTCGACGATAAGTGCCCACCTAAAAGAAATATAAAACCCTCCACCAATTTCGCTGGGCTATTTTGCTTTCCAACGTTTTAAGGTAGTGTGTGATAAGGCACGCGCGTGACCTTTTTTCTTATGGTCGATTTTTGGTATATTTTCAAGTTTATGTTATGTGTTTCACAAAAGTCACCAATTTTTTAGTCAATTTTTACCTTAACTATGAAACATTGTCCTCTACAGTCTACACCATCATCAGCCGCCTTAATAATGACAGTTACTACACAATAGCGTATGCAGATGACCTGGTCATTCTGCCAATAGCGAATTTTGAGAATATACTCTGAGAAAGAATGCAAATAGCTTTCAAAATTGGAAAACAAAAAATTACAAGGAAAAAGATAAATAAAAATAATAAAACCTCCATAGCTCCTGAATAGAAAACTACAAAAACAACACTAGTAGCCTTTTAAAGGAAAAGAAAACTTAATCTCAAAACCGTTAAATTAGACGGGACAGATATAGAATGGAAAAATGAAGTCAAATATTTAGGCCTAACCCTGGACAATAAACTTCTCTGGAACACACATAAGAAGAAAGTAGTAAATAAGGCCACAAAAGCCCTAATGGTATGCATAAATATTGCGGTAAACGATGGGGATGTAACCCAAACATACTGCGATATATGTATACTTCAATAGTCCAAATCCTACACTTCCTTGAGAAGATTGGAAGGGTCGTTATCGGCATTAAGACATTTCCTTGGTGCATTAGCAACAAAAGGGGACACAATAGATCTTTAAGGTCGCAGTGTATTAACACCCCATTCCCAACATAACATAATTACAAAACTAAACTTTGTAACAGAGGTGAAGTACCTTAGTCTCACCTTTGATAGTAAGTTAACATGGAACTCACACTTAGAAAACAGAATCGTCAAAAGAGCATACATTGCTTATAAACAATTCAACCGAAACGTGAGGTGCACCTGGAGTTTCTCCCCAAGAGTCGTCACATGGACTTACACGATGCAGTTGTCTGGGTACCGAAAACTCAATAATTGACAGCTATCTGCAAACTAGATCAAATTCAAAGAACAGCATCTTTCAACATAACAGGTACCTGAAAAACTACATCCAGAAGAGCCGTGAAAATCATTCTTAGTATCATTCCCCTTGATATTTACATCAATAAGGTTACTCTGATATCAATGACACGCATCTACGCGGTTGGAGTAGAACCTGATGTAGGATCTGGTGAGGCGAGACGGAGCTTCTGGCAGTAAGCTCTCGATACACTTCCACTGCTTCAAGCGAACGTGGACTTCATCTCACCGAGATATATCTTCCATAATCCATATAAAGTTATAATAGAACAAATGGAAGAGCCAAAAGTGGCAGATACGATTCACATCTACACCGACTGTTCTAAAACAAAACAAGGCTCAGGATGTGGTATATACTCCAGATCCTTAAATATAATCATACTATGGGCTGTGAGTAACAGTGCCAGTGTAGTTTAGACCGGGATCACGACGATTTTCATAGCAGCAAAATAAATCACCAGAAACAAAATCACTGAAAAGAACATACTCATCTATACATATTCGCTCCGAGCGCGACAGTAGCGCCAATTCGTTTTGATACTAATGGACTATTTCTGCGTATACTGACAAATGCAACTTTTAATAGAATTCGTAATTAAAAAGTATATATGTTAGTTTTAATAAAAGTATATGGATTTATAAAACAAGTAAAACATTAATTTATTATTATTATATATTTTTATCGCTTAATTAAAGAAAATTATGTATAATCGATAAAAATCAATAATAAAATATAGGCAGGCAATAGTATTTACTGGAAAATGTATAAGAAGTTGCCAAAGTCTAATAAGTTTTCATTGAAGAATTAGTCTATTCTGTCAAAATAAAAAAATACCATTTAATAATAGCGTGAAGTTAAAATGTATAAAAAAGGATCATTACTTATATTTTCATTTTTGTTCGAAAGAAAACAAAGAATGAATGATTAAAACTGATTTCTCATCAGTAAGTTACAAAATTGCGTTCCAACCACATATATTAATCAAAGGCAGAAATCTTGAAATCTAGTCCTTGTTGAATGAACATTTAAGAATAAGGGATATTGAAGAACATGGTAAAATGATAATTTATTGTTTATTTAAAACCTTTCAAGTTTCTGATGTCTACTATTTGCAGCATTACGGTTATTATTACAAAAATAAAGGTAATTTTTCTTCTTATTGTATATCTATCCATTTATTTCTTTGATTTAATTTCCACTTCGCTACTGAAAGTTTTTATATAAGTTTCACTGTTTTTTTACTAGTATTTGTACAATTTTCAACACAGCAACTCCGGTTGCTTATTGTATTGTTTTTACCTACTTTTTTTGAAAAAAAGTAAAATGTATACGTGTATTTGATATGCCAAAATTACAAAATATCGCCCTAAAATGCACGAATTATCCGCAGCTAGCGCTAGTATCGCTTTTGCTTCCCTTTCCATGACTTCGCACGGAGCGAATAGCAGACGACCACTTCTCACCTCAAACAGTCCATGAATTTACTCAGGGTTAGTTCTAGAATATCACCAAGCTGTGGCCAAACGGTGTCCATTAACAATGTGATTACCGTAAAATAATCGAAGGCCACGCCATATCGAAAGCTAACCGTCTTGCTAATTCACTAGCCAAGAAGGCATCCAATCAAATTCTTTTTAGACCTGGCCCTTCTATTGGACTAACAATATCGGTAGTGATGGATCTAATTAAAGAACAGTCACTTGTGAAATTCATGCAAGATGAGATAAAGCAAGAAACTGCAGAGTTGCCAGGGAGCTTCTAAGTTATCCTGACAATGATAATGAGAAAAAATCATTTCAACGTTCGTTTTTACTGATACGAAATAAACAATACCTATTACTTATTAGCTTTTGAGTGTATTGAAACGAATTTCTGTAATCAAATTATTTTATTTTATTAATTTTAATTTTTGCAATTAATCGAAAAACGGTTACGTAAAATATGACTAGAATTTTTTTATAGAATCCAAAAATTGAAAAATATACCGGGCATTTAAAATAATAAAAGTTGGTATTGGCCACTGTTATATGACACACCCGGTATAAAAAGTATTTGTTAAAAAAATGCGCAACTAAAAATGCCAATCGACGTCTGAGCGTTTTCTCGAACTCGCACCCATTTATTTATTACCGAATTTATTCCATTTGACTGTTCCACACTGTATATATTAAATGGTATCAAATAATATGTGTATAATTGTGATTTATAGGAAAAATTATTTTCCATGTCATATCGTGATTTCAATTTATTGTATTCAACAAATATTCCAATAAATGATATTAGTAGGGTGTATTAGAAATTCTTTGAATTTTTATCAAATTTGATGCTTGTTTATGAAATTCGAAGTGATAAAAAACTTTTCATGATTTTTTTTATTTGTTAAATGTAAGATAAACTTTTTTCCATTTGTATAAAACTTTTTGGGGCACATTCAAATTTTTTGTACAGCAATTTTTTATATAGCGAATTATTCCAGACAAGAGACAATCAAATCATTATTATACCGGGTATTTAAATTAAAGTGTTAAATACCGCCTTTTATAAAAAAACGTTTCAAACAAAAGTTTTATAGTTTTTTGGTAAAACATTTTGGCTAAAATCGTTTTTATAGCTAACCATAATATGGCCAACTTTTTTTTCGCGCAGCAAAATTTTTAAGTAGGTCTTACTCAATAAGTAAAAGTCCAATAAAAAAAGTGTTTTCTCTAAAAGTTTCTTATTTTTTCATGAACTTTAAGAATATGTAAAAAAATGGGGTTCCAATTTGAAAAAAAAAAGTTTACCTCGATATGGACATATTATGGTCAGCCATATAAAAACGAATTTACCCAAAATGTTTCCTCTAAAAACTATAAAACTTTTGTATGAAACTTTTTTTATAAAATGCATATTTTCGGCGGTATTTAACTGTAACACTTTAATTTGAACACCCGGTATAAGTTTTAAAACTAAATAAAATAGCGCAATGGTATTCCGTACCGTAAATGTTTTAAAGTAGAGTTGATATGTTAATAAATTTAGATGACAGGCGCTGATACAACGTATCAATACAGCAACGGTCTCTTTCTTTGTATATAAAAAAAAATCCTGCAATCGTGATAATTTTGGTTCAGTAAGATTTTTGAAGTTGGAAGACAGCAATTTTTAAGCGTTTTTTAAAATATATTTTTGAAAACATGTTTCAAAATGCTTTTATTTGATATCCCACGATGGCGTCAGAAAAACTCTAACTTCCAATTTAACCCCTCCCCTTACTTACTTTCAAGACAAAGTAATACATTTCTAGTTAACGCCTAATTTGGGCCATTGACTACAGAGATACACCGAGATGATTCCATAAGTGTTTCTTATTGCCAGACAAATTATTTGAAAATTTCTTTATTTTGTTTTCAAAATTTATATCTTTTTTTAAATTTAAATTTGATATCTTTTTAACACGAGAGAAACGTGAAGAGACGATAGAAATGCTCACTATTTTTTTTTTTAATTGGATATTTCAAACGTAAAGATGAGTGATTCCCTTGAACAAATTTAATATTAATATTTATACCCTAACATTTAAAACAATTAAGACAATTACAATAAATACATTTAGCAGCACTTACCAGATTTGATAAGAAGCGTAACGATTTTAGGGTCACCTTTCAATATAGCCAAATCCAACGGACTAGGCTTACCAAGGTCATATTCTTCGTCGTAATTTAATTTAGCTCCTTGTTTTATCATCAGATTCACGATTTCATAGTTTCCAGACAAAACTGCGTAATGTAGGACCTGAAACGGTTTCAGGTATTTCAGATGATTTCGCAAAACTATACAGTCTATAAGTTAATACTTTTTAAATTATGTATAGAAGTCGAATAAACATATTTATGAAAAGACTCAAAAATAAGAAATTTACAAAATTAAAAATTAAAAAATCTAAACTCGAGCCCAGACTTGTGTATTAAAAGTTAAGCTAATTAATAAATATGTTTGTTTTTATCCTGTTTTAGGTTTTTCTTATAAATCACGATGTGTACCGCTTTGCAAATGCATTTGATCTCAGTAGTATCTGAAGTACCTAGTGATTTTCGTTATGGTATATTAAAAATGAAGTGAGTTTAAAAGAAAATATTTTAAATTTTACGAAAACAGCAGGAATGTGATTAAAATTTATTGGCGCGAGTTCTACACATTATTTAAGTTAATTATTGGATATATTTTGGATTAAATTAATGATATTTTCTTATTTTTTAGCTTTTCTTAAATTTATTTTAAAAAGTTGTTTATTTTAATGAATTCTATAGCCAGTATAAAAAAGTATCAACATAGGATTCACTCGGTATAGTACTACTTCATAAAAAGTAACTGAATATTTAAACTTTTAAATAAATTGTTTAACTATTTCAGAATCACAAATTTCAATTATATACCGGGTGTTCAAATTAAAGTGTTATAGCTAAATACCGCCTTTTATATATATAAAAAAAAAAGTTTCAGGCAAAAGTTTTATAGTTTTGTAGGGAAGAAATTTTGGCTAAAATCATTTTTTATAGCTAACCATATTATGGTCAACTTTTTTTTCGCCCACCAAAATTTTCAAGTAGCTGTTACTCAAAAAGTAAAAGTCCAATAAAAAATATATTTCCCTCAAAAGTTTCTTATTTTTTTATGTACTTTAAGAATATGTATGACCATATTGTGGTGAGCTATAAAAAAATGAATTTAGCCAAAATGTTTCCCCCAAAAAACTATAAAACTTTTTTTCTAAAATGCATATTTTCGGCGGTATTTAACTGTAACACTTTAATTTGAAGACCCGGTATCAGTATAGATAACCACTCTACATACAACATCTCTAGTTATCTAGAATGGTAGCACGAAGTACTAATAATTAGTTATACTCTAGTAAAAGCACAGCTTATACAATACAGCTAAAACACTCTCTTGGCGGCAACGGTTTGCGTCGATTTCGTCGAGGGAAAAGACGGTTTTGGCGTTCAGAGGCGTACTTAGGTAAGGTGTTGAGTCGTGCGTATAATTTCGTTGATTGTATAATTTCGTGGAGCCTATAATTTCGTTGATTTTGTTTGAGTTAAAGGTACTATTATTATTTTGGTGACTTTTTAGCTGTGAGTAGAATGAGTGAAAAAAATACATCATTCTGTTTGTGCAGTCAAAAGCTGTTTTAATAAGGGTTATACCTGCAAGAAAACATTCTTTAGTTTTCCCAAGGACCCAAACCGATAAGTACCACATTATAAGAAATTTTCATTGTTAAAAATATAATTTATACAGGGTGTCCCATTAGTGCGTTATTGTTCACGCAAAAAAGTTTTAAATAAAAATTATATGGATTTGAAAAATACCTACATATTTTAAAAATATCTCTGGATATACAGGGTGTCACGTTTTTGCCTGGCAAATTAAAATGTATGTTTTTTAAATGGAACACCTTGTATTTTATTTTATGATGAAATTATTAACACGCTAAATTATTGTAAAGACGAGTTGCTACAGAAAAATTTTATCAGGTATGTGTGTGGTTACCTTTTAATAAAAGCCTTGCGGATCCACTCCTGTGATACCTGTCTTAAATATAACAAAGATCACGTTGAATTAGATGATTTTTCTTTTTATTGCTTTTTAAAGGCATATGATAACGCCAATTCAGATACATTTGGAAATCTGCAACTGTCAAATGATGAATTTGTAAAACTACTATTCAATATTGAAAAGATATTTCAAAATAATTTTGAAGAATAGTCTACAAAAAATAACATTTGTACCACACTTTTAGAATTAATTAACCCAATACCTTTTAGTCATCCATGCTAACGTTTTCGAAAAGAATAACCTATTTTAATGTATGTTTAATCTCATAATTTTTTAAATTTGTAGATTTTCGTTAGTGGGTCGTAGAAAAAATATACTGACCATATCGAGTGGATTGTTCATATCACAATCAGACGATTGAGTACTCCGCCTACGACGTCGTGCTCAAACTTCGTCTTTGTGTGATATGGCTATCATATCCACCCTTGTTGAACAAACTACTATTTATTTGTTTTCTTGGTTTAAGTTTTACATCAGAAATAGGAACTAAATTAATTTACTTTTCAAGTTTTCTTGTAAAAATCGATATTACTTTCTCCAAGTACAAATTTAGTACCTACCTAAAATAAGTACTAATTATGTAATTTCGTGTAATATTGTAATTCAAATTTCACAATACTATAAAGTTTCAAAATTCCCTATTTCGGTATGGTCAGATAAAAATTAAATATATTATATTAATAAAAACTGTCAAAGTATTACTTCTACAAATCTGTATTTCAATTAATAAGAATACATCTAAATATAACCAATATTGTTAAAATAAAAGCACAAATTCTTTATAATTCCAAAATACCATAGAGTTCCCAGACCTCAGTCGAAGCATTCGTTTATCTAGGTATAAACCCTTTGCGCGAAGAGTAACACTTGCCAGACATACGGGGTATCACTTTATTTGCATCCACGAGCGTGACAAAATTCTTTAACAATTGAAGCCCTTGGTGTAAAAAGGATCCAAGCCACAATTTGTCGTGAAGTGACTGTATTAGCTCAAAACATTTGTTAACGAGGATTTTACTAGCCACATACAAATTATTTTACCTCTAATCCGAAAGATCGCTATTTTTCGTAATATTTATATTTAAATAATTTTTTTAATTATATTTGACAGATTTAAAACAAATTAAAAATTTAATTTCCCAAAACTTACTTAATATGGCATGTAACCAACCTTATTACGCCAAGGTTTTCAATTTTTTCAATAATAAAAAAATTGTTTAATCCGGGCCCGAGTTTTCCCTCGAATCTAACAGAGATAGCACCATTCCGTCTTGCTTGGTTCTCGACCGCCAGATCAAAGACGCCGACACGGAGTTGTGGAGCTGTATTGTATTAGCTGTGGTAAAAGTTTCAGTCATAGAAGGAGAATATGAGAAGTCCATTCTTCTCTACCTACCGTCCTATAATCATGCCTTTCATCAGCTATAGCATTCACATCTGCTCCGTATTTTAAAAGAAGTAATACTGCTTCCATGCCCTGAAATAAAAAATAAAATATATAGTATAAATATCTCTATCTACCTGATTTAGTGTGTAGTTGAAAGCCCACTCATAGAGAAGCTCTTGGTCTATTGTATCTCTCTCAGTTTCTACCCAGCAAGTTAATATTCTTGATCTATTCAAAAATATGTCTGATGAATGAGAGTTCCGTTCTCCTTTGCGCATCTTCTACACAGAAAATATCCCTAAGAGGGTTTAGGTGCACTCCAAAGCCACTGTTTTCGTAAAGATTTCCATTATGGTCTTTACAGTTAATTTTTTCTGCTCTTGGGGACTCTCAATGAATATTCTGGATTGTCTAAGTCCAGGAAGTTCCAACCAGAGCTTATGGTGTTTTTTACCTGTTCTTTTAGCACCGTTTTAACATATTGACATGAAATACCACATGTATGTTCTGATTCAATTAAATATTTCTCGTATTTCTTTTTTATTGCTTTCTTGTTTCCCAACACTTCCTCATATCATGGCTCCCATTCAAGAGTGACATTATGTTCTGCCAGGGCCTTTAGGGGCTGTTGATAGTCCAGTTTTAATTAATATTGTATTTTTACTTTTTCAGTGTTTTAAGAACAGTCTGTGATAATAAAGACTCTTACCTCACGATAGAAACGATAGAATATGAGAGTATTAACTTTCACTTAGATACACAGATCACAGCAAAAGATGTACTTGCTTCAGCAGCAGGGACAAAATTGGATATTTGCTTGAATTCACTTGGCTTAAGTTAATAAAATTAAAACATTTTTAGAAATTTTGTAAAAGTAAAGCAGAGAAATTTAGTAGACAAAATAGAGAGAGAAATTCTTATAAATATAAAATCATAAAAACATCTTAGTATTCATATAAATGTTTATTAAAATAATCCACTTGGTTTTTTTTACTATAAGATTAGAATTTGTGTAACTTAACAATAAACCATTTATATAGTATAAATAATTAAGGTTTCATTTAAGCATATGAAAAAATTTAATAAATCTTGCGACGTTCAAGAGTCCTCTGAGAGAAACTCGGCCATCTCTTTGAGAAATTAACTTAACACTGAGTATTTTAAGTATGCCAAGGCCGATTTCATAATTGATACTATTAAAAGATCCATTAACTAATTGGACAATTAAGTTCAAATATTCATTTTTTTATTGGTGTTTGGTCAATAGCCTTGTGTTCCGTATATATTAATGAAGTTATGTACTCTAATACTCCTACACGCCTACAGACAGGCATCGTTACTGTTTCCCAGTGCTACTTTAGAAACAGCACTAATATTTAGAACCCAACAGTGAATGGTCTGAATTGGTAATCATACCTGTGTATCAGAATTATTTTTAAATAAATAAAAAGTCCTGGCCAGCATTGGGGTTCTTGAATACGCAAGTCCTGATTCTAACCACTGAGCCACGCAGCTTTTTAAAATATACTGTTTCCACGGATGGACTAAAGCATATAGTTCGTAACTTTTTATAATCTCTTTTCCTTGTCAAATAAATACGATTCACCGTGAGAAACTTCGATTTTGTTGTACAGGATGCGCAAAAAATATAACAATGATTGTGGAATTATTTTGCGAGCGCTTTAATAAAAACCTTTATTTGGCTTTTCGATTTCTCCTTTCAATTTTTAATTTTGCAAATCCACAATTTGTATTTTTTTACAACAAAATCGTAGTTCCTCAAAGTGAATCATTTTTATTTACCCAACAATAGAAATTATTAAAAAAGGCTTTATTTTAATTAAAAATAGATATTTTAACAATTATTATAATTAAATCCATCCACTTTATAATTAAGAAATAGTTATTCTTGAAAATTTTCGATAAATAATGGAAATCCATTAGATATTATTTTATATTTACAAAGAAATGGAAAATTTAGTAAAGTTAACAAAACTATGTAAAACCAATTCTAATGTATTGACTGATTTAAGTCAAAATAATGCATAAGACATATTCTGGACAATTGAGACAGATTGTCCGTGTCTATATAGCCATCACATCCATTCATGGCATCATTATAAGTTTAACAATTTGCCTCGTTGTTATTATTACTGGTGGAAGAAAAAATAGTGTATGTAACTCACATAATGTAAACAAAATTATGTTGTAAATGGTGCCAGAACGTAAGGTACCAAAAAATTTATTTGATATAGACGTTAAAGGGCTCTTCTACAAATTTTTTAAACTGTTATCCTATTTATTTTTAACTTACTTGTGGCTGTCTAACAGCTTTCATCAAAGGTGTAAGTCCAGATCGATCTCTACTATCAGGATTAGCACCAAAAGTCAACAACAATTCCAGAAACTCCAAATCAGTCACTAGATTTATTTCGGATCCAAAGAAATATCTCTTATTGGGATCAGCTCCATGTTCCAGTAACATTCTGGCGATGTCCATGTGTTTATTACGGATCGCTAGACGTAGGGGTTCATCACATTTCGTAGTCCTAGGGAATTCTTCGTCTGTGTCCTCTCTGTAGTCTACTTTGGCACCTGAGGCTAAGAGAAGACGTACGACCTCCGTGTATCTGAAACGTATTTCTGTAATTTATTCAATCTATAGTTTTATTTTTACAAATTTCAGAAATTAATAAATCGATATAGTGTGGGCTACGTTGATGATGGAGTATAACAGTTCAACAAGCCAACGAATGTGTAAAAAAATCTTCATAAACAGAGAAATTACTTCTTAGTTTAAATTATCACAGATTCATGTTAAGTGGTTCTTACAATTTAGATGGGCTCTTACTTTTCCATAGTCTTCTTTTGATAAAGAATAAAGCGTTGCAAACAATAAATTGGTACTATAATTAAGAAATATTTCAAGTCAATTTTAAAAATTTCAGAAAGATGAGTTTACAATAATTTATCTCACAAACTAACCCGGCCCCTGCATTTTTTTATGGATTGATTTTTTTCGAAGGTAAACATTTAGGAATTGGGAATATTCTTCAATAAAATGGAGCATATTAATGTATTTTCGGGTGAGGTAGAAACGCGTTTGCGGTGGCGATTGAGGTCTAAAGTAACCGATAAATTGTAAAAAAGTTTTGTTACTTCTACAGATTTATTTATGAGTTCAGAGATTCCCTGTATTAATTGCTGGTAATATTATTTGATCCTATGTATTATTTTGTATGTTGTATATTCTGGACGTATTTTTGGGACTTTACTTTTAACTTTTTGTAAGATCTTTGTTAAAGATTAGTTGTATTATAGTTAAATGATCTATTATTTTAAGTACTGTAGTGGAATCTGTGTTGAAATGGTGAAAAGTCCCTTTTTCACTGAAATTATATTTTCAATGGATTGCTATACAAAATCATGTCCCCGACCGTTTAGTGTTAAAATGAACCAAGTCGCGGACATAGTTCCATTTAGCTCTCACTCATGTGTTACTATTCTGATGCACTGTTGTGCGCAAGCAATATTTCCTATCGTCAGTTACTTTAAAATGGCGAGTGAAGCAGTTGCAGTGACAATGAGTAACAAAAGAAAATTGAAACATCCTGAAACCTACAAAAGAAACGTTATTAAAAAAACCAAAATAAAAGGAACTGAACACACAAATTACGGTGGAAAATTAGTTCTTGCAAAAACTATTTGTCAAATATCTAATTGGTAAGTGGTACCTTTTTTAGGTTAGAGTAGTATCTGTATGTAAGTTTGTTATTGTTTATAGTTACAAAACGTTGTTTGGAAAAGTAATCTTGGCAGAGTGATAATCCATGCTTGATGTGTTTCACAGCTTAAGCAGCAAAAATAAACAAGATTTGCAATGGTTGATCGAATTTAAACCTATTGAACGAAGGAGGCCACGTGTGACAGAAAATCAGCAAGAATATAAATTACGACAAGCTTATTTTGAATATTTTGTAATGAAAAACAATAGTCGCAACAAAGTCTGCCGAACAGCATATTTGCTCAGCTTCATCGTATATCTGAAAAACGTATTTTACGAATAACCCAGTTACTTGTTAAAGCAGAAATGTCTAAAGATAAAAGAGGCAAAAATCCAGAGACACATTGCATTCCAAAATTAGACGTCAACAGATTTATGACCACATTCAGTCTTTCCCTACAAAAAATACGGATTCTTCTGGTCGTTGCATTCAATACTTAGATGCTAGGCTTGATGTTAAAATAATGTTTGACTTATTCAAAGATAAATTCCCTACTACAAAGGAAAATACGAATTCTATTTTAAATTATTTAACACAAATTTTGCACTGCCATTTGGTCGTCCACAAATTGATGTCTGCTGTACATGTGAAGAGCTCTCCATGAAAATGAAAACTCCGCATTTATCAGAAAATGTAAAACTTGCCGCACAAGCGGAAATGACTGTTCACAAAATGAGAAGTAAAAACATTTTTATTGCCCTCAAGAATACCACAGACGAATCGAAAGCAAGTCCAAAAACTCTAGGATTTGCATTCGAATTCCTGCAGAATTTACCGCTTCCACAAACTCCAGTTGAGGAAATATTTTATTTAAGGCAATTATGGGTGAATACGTTTTGTAATCATAATCTAGAAGACGACAATTTACAGATTTACATGTATCATGAGGGTGTTGCCAAAAAGGCGCAAACGAAGTGTGCTCATTTATTTATGACTACATAATTCATAATGTTCCTGCTGAAGTATCTGATTTATATTTATACAGCAATGGATGCCCCGGGAAAAACCGGAACCATACGATGATAAGAATGTGTCTTGTGCTAGTAGATACCGGAAATTTCAGAAACTCGTTTACCGTTTTCCTGTTCGGGAACATTCGTTTCTCCCCTGCGATAGGGATTTTAAAAAGTGGACAGAGTATTTTTGCCTAAAGATTACTGTAGCATAATAGCTAACAGTAAGAAAAACGTAACAGTAACAGATATCTACTGATGATATACTGAATTTTAAAAAATGGTGGCCTCCTTTATACAAATTTCAGATAATAGTAAAGGCAAAAAGATACCTAAAGAACAGAAACTATCTTTCACGCCATCACAGTTTTATGAATTATTATATTCCTTGGAGCATCCTGGAAAAGTAGTTACTAATACTTTTATTGGTGGTATTAGAAAGAACTCTTTTGATTTATTACAGTGTGGACAACAGAAAATTTGCATGTCTTCTATACCTTAAGCATATCCTGCCGGAAATGTGCCCATTAACAAAAAAAAAAAAACAATATTAAACAAGTTGTGAAATATGTCAACGCTGAAGATGATAAAGCTGAAGCATTTTACGAGGAGATTTTACAGTGGCCAGCCACAGTACAAGAGGTTGAAGATCAATAAATTGCTAGAATTTTGATATGTTTTTTACACCAAACATGTTTCTTTGTTGGTTTCTTTTATAGAATTATGTACCGAGTTTATTTTGTATGTCTTAACTCTTATTTATTTTGATTGATTGTTGAAAAGAACTAAATCCTTCTTTTTAAAAATAAGAAAAGCATACAAAAACTAAAATGAGCAAAATTCCTCTAGGATAACCTATTATTAGCCAATTTACTTTCATAATATATAGGCTTCAGTGGATCAGATAAGTCCGTTCTAAACAAATTTTTCCCATTTACTCAAAACTTTTTTTAGTACGATTTCAACAATCACCGAATCAGTTATATTATTACCCATTATATTGTATTCAGGTTTTAAGAAAATCAATACAGTTTTTTAATCGGTTTGGCCTATTGATTGTGAATATAAAGTCAAATTAATTTTATGGCGTTCAGATATCAAGTACTATATTTCTCATAAACTAAAATGTTAATATTCATGACCCAATAAAAAACTAGAAATCATCTTTTTCTTGTTAATTACTATCGAACTATGACTGAAGTACCTAAGTAATTTCACTAATTAGGGAAGCTGCTGATGTATATACCGCTGGTGATGTTGGTAAAGTAACAAGCGGTTGTGGTAGTCTAGAGTTTATATAAGGGGCGTAAGTAAAATATAAGATGACTACCACGACCGCCATCACTACCGCAACCTCATCCAAGTTAGTTTTCAAAATTCTTTATTGTATAAATATTGACGCGAATTTTTATAGTGAATATTTCGGTAAAACTACTTTTACTCTGTATTTATCGGTATTATTTTTTAAATTAATTATACATTGAATTAAAATTAAACAATGAGTAATTTGAGTCTGGGTTTCTTTTGGCAAATAATTTGTTCTAAAAGTAATGACAGGATAGTAGGTAGATACTGTATACCTGCCAAGTTCAATAACATCGATAATACATTGTTCAAAATATCAATTTTGGAAAAAAAAGTTTAGAATGTGTCTATTATTGGTTTATAGGAATTTTGAAAGGACCAAAAACATGTATTATAAATGAAACGGTTGGTATTTAATGAGCAAGTATATTAATAGGAGCAAATAACGATTAAGATATGTCACCTCTTGAACGTTTTGAATATGTTCATTGTCACTTTTATTGAAAGCAAACGTAGTTTGTTGATGTAAGTTTTTAATTAATTATATGTGGTAGAGATTTCGAGTTTCATTATCTTATAAAAAATTACCATAATTGAGAGGTTGGATTCTTCGATTTTATTTAATATGGTCAATAATTTTGTAACATTAAGAGCTTTATCTAATCAGTTACTACATAAAATTTGGAGACATTAGACCATTTTAATAACATGTCTATCGAGCTCTAATGGTCATCGAGTTCTTCGGTTGGAGAGACATTGAAAAGTCTCTGAAGATTCGAAGATAAAGAAGAAAAAAAACCAAAAGAGTAGGACCATCTTAGGTTGGGATAAACATTGAAGAAACCTCTGGATGCTCGTAAATAAAGAAAGGGAACTAAAGAGGTGACATAGAATCATAAAGTTTCTTTTGAGACGAAGGAGTTACGTAAGACCATCAACGAAGAGAAGGCAGAGACATCATATTTCACAGCAAAAGGATCTAAGCTTATATTTAATTTATTATTTGTTCGATTCGATTAATGTTCTTTTGGGAATTTTGCCACATTTGCTTTTTCTGTATAAAATTTCGTTTTGTTGTTGTTATCATTATTGTCATTGTTGTTATCGTTATTGTCATTGTTATCTTCATTGGTGTTAAATATTGTGTTAGTCTTTTAAATCAGAGTAATGCTACTATCTAGAATTTTCAAAGAAGACATCTATATGAGATTTAGAATTACGTTTTCTCATTAAATTCGGGCCAATAACAAAAATGTAGGCTTATATCCTCTTGATATTAATAATACATACGTTTTTTTTTACTTTTATTAAAATCTTAATGATAGTTCACGTTGAATCTATTGTGGCCAGTTTAAATCGGGCAAGTAATAATGAAGATATAGTCATTTAACATTACGTGTTTATTCATTGTAAATGACATTTTACATTTTATGACATTTGTCTCGTCCAAATCGAACCAATAAAAATGAATATAAACTTTAATGCCCTTTTTGCGATGCTACTGTAAAGCTTTCTTATCGTAAATGACATTTTACATTGAACTCCGTTTGTTCAATTTGAATAGAACTAATAAAAATAAAGACATAAGCTTAGTTTCTTTTATTAGCTATACTACTACGCGTATTTTTTGTTAAATACGATACATGTCTCCTCTTCGTCGATGGTCCTACGTCACTCCTTCATCTTAAAAGAGCTTTTTTAACTTTTCTTTGTCTTCGTTACTTCTTTAGTTGCTCTTCTTTTTCGTTGTCTCCAGGGGCTTCTTTAACATCTTCTGAAACAGAAGATGATCTTAAGAGACCATTTCGGCTCCTCTTTCTCTTCGAGTCTCCAGAGGTTTCGTCAATAATTCTCCAACCGAAAAACTTGAGTAGCACCACGAGAATTTGATGGGCACGTATCCAAAGTGGTCTAGTTTAAAATAACATATTTGAGAAGCTTTGCTTGCTTAAATTCGAACTCAACTCAATATAGGATCATAGTAAAGATGAATTTAAAGTTATAAATATAATATATAAAGAAACTAATAAAATGCTATCTAAAAACACCGCGTAAAAATAGAACAAATGTAGGTTTTAAAAGAAAACTACAAAATAAATATTTATCAAATAGTACGAGTAGTTACATTATGCAAAGTTATAAATAGTATTAAAACTAACCCGTGTTCAGCAGATAAGTGGAGAGCGCTGTATCCACATTCGTCTGTAGCATTGACGTTTCCACCTCTCGTTAACAGGAGCTGAGTAGCTTCATAGTACCTTTGCCAGACTGCATAATGCAAAGGCATCAAACCTTGCGTCACTGGCTCGTTCACCTAAATCAAAAATCGGTTGTAGCTAACATAGCACTTTCCTTATATTTGTGGATAAAATATAGTTAAGGTCAATTATATTTCTGAAGCAAGTTACTACCTTTGGCCTATAATTTATAAAAATTGAACAAGTAAAGTTTATTTTACTAGGGACTGTTACAACTACTGTGCAGTATTCTAGTTCCGCCTTTCATTATCAATATAGTTCAGACTATACTTAACTTTATCCCACCTAATTACAAAACTATCCTATTAGACTATAAAAACAAAATGAACACTTTTATCCTTGATATAAAATTAAAGATTTGTGTATTGTTCTAAAACATTTAGTTATTTTAAACCCTACCAAAATTTCACTAGTAACTGATCTTTGGACACACAAGCTTTCTGCCATTAGGAATCATGAAAAAATATATCAAATTAAATGGGAAAAAACTTAAAATCAATACTGTATGCTACATACAAAATTGGTTTATTAAAAACAACTTGGCAATTGATTACAGCTTACAAAAATTCATCATCATACCTTAAGCCACATCCAGACGATATGGCCAATGTTAGATAACGTTAACTATTGGATGATTTACCGTACCGTGTGAATCATGTTTATGTCGTAGACTCATAGTAAAATCCGTCTTTTCATCTGTATCTGTAACGTGTGGAGGGTGAGTTAACCCACGGTACTAAGGTCTCCCTAGGATCATTGTGCATCCTCCTAAGTAGATAGGCACCTCCTAGCTCGTGAGCCAGGCTACAGATTTAATGTAGTTGACAACGTTGCCAAGAGATGTTAGCTAATTCTCGCCGAACACAAATCTTTTTAACATTGTAATGCTCAAGAAATTTAAAGTTTTAATAATAAAGTTTCAATTTAAAAATTAAAAATAAATTGCGATTTACTTTTATTTTCGAAAAAACGGAAGTAAGTCATGACATACCAGTTGAATGAAGTACTTGACAGTATTTATTCCAAGCTTTCAAACAACATAGTTTTCATTCCGATATTTCAATTAATAAAAAAGATAAGAGCGGGTTAAATTATTGAACGATTTGGTAATAACCAAAAATCTTAGATATGCCACTGTTACACTGTAAATAGGTCTCAATGGGAACTTTGAAGCTCACAAAGATTTTATACATTCCCATATTTTTTCTATAAACTAATTAACAGTAACATTAAAAAAATTAATTATCCAATATTACGGTCATTTTGACAGCTGACAGAAAATTTTAACCAAACGCTTCTTATCCATAAATGTCCCTGAAATTCAAATTTTCAATAAAAAAGGAAGTTTCTATTTAAAAATTAAAAATAAATTTCGATTTCCGAAAAACTGAAAGTAAGCCATGATGTCACAGACCAAATGAATAAAGTATATGACAGTACTTCTTCTAAACTTTTAAACAAAAAACTGTTCGTTCCAATATCTCAATTAACAACGAAGATAGAAGGGGATGGAATTATTAAACGGTTTGCTATAATGAAAACGCTAAGATACGCCACTGGTGGGTCTTTATAGAAATTTTAAAGCTTAAAATGATATAAAGATCACACATTCCCATAACTTTTTCCATAAACGAATTAATAGTAATATGTTTAGAAAAATATTATCCAATATAGCGGCCATTTTGACAGCTAACATAAAATTTTCAATATACGCTTTTTATCCAAAAATGGCCCACAAAAAATGGGTTTCAATTTTAATTTAAAAAATAAATGGCGATTTTCAGTAATATTCGGATAAATCAAAAGTAAGCCATAACAATTGGATCCAGCACATGAAAGTATCTGTTTTCATTCCGATATCTCGATTAACAACGAAGATAAAAGTGGATGGAATTATTAAACGGTTTGCTAATAATAAAAATGCTTGGATACGCCACTGGTAAACGGTAACTGGGTCTGGAATTTTGAAGCACAAACGAATTAATAGTAACATGTTTAGAAAAAATAGTACCCAATATGGTGGCCATTTTGACAACTGCAAGAAATTTTTCAATACATGATTTTATACAATAATGTCCCAAAAATTCAAATTTACAATAAAAAAGTGGGTTTCAATTTAAAAAAGAAATAATAAATTGCGATTTTCTGTTATTTTCGAAAATAATTGGATTTCTTTGAAAGTATTTGTAAATAGTCTTTTAAACAGACAAAAAATTATTCCGATATCTAAATAACGAATATAAGGGGAGGGAGTAGAACTTTTAATTATCCCACCCTGTATACTATGTATACTATTTACTGCCAGATTAATTTATTTTTCTTTTGTTATTTTTAATAATTATTAGTTGTATATAAGAAAGAAGTGGCAACACAAGCACTTTCCACGCACCACCGTATCGTATTTTTCGATGTCCACGTTCTTCCAAGTGTTGGTATATTTCGCTACACTTTTAGTCCCTCAGATAGTGACAGGTTTAGGTGCCTCATTTTCGCATACAAGCCTCAAAGAGGGTTGAAAAATACATCGATTTTAAGTAGAATGAAAGGAAATTTACGAGTGGCTGCTGAGGATAACACATGGAAAATTCGATTTTCCCTAACAAAAACGAAAGGTTATTTGTTACCCATTTTTTCACGCAAGTCGTTTATATGAAAAATTTATTAGAACAAGGCTTCGGAAAACTAAAGGCTTTAACGTTGCAAGTGGCTAAAGGGTTGAAATAAGGGCGTAATCTTCTAAGGAAAAATCGAGATATTGCCTGATTTTTCCACACAAGCTCATCGAATGAATAAAAAAGTACGTCGTCACTAGCCCGAAAAACATATTTTCTTGAATGACCCGAATGTATAGGTGCATTTTGGGGTCGGTAAATTTTTTTGATAAGGAAACCCAAATTTTCCATATGTTATTCCCAAGAGCAACTCGTAAATTTTCTTTTATTCTACTCAACATCGATATACTTTTCAATCTTCTGCATCTGTGGCTTTAGACGGCATTTATTTTTAAAATTATATCATGGGTTGGCGCTAAGAAAGTCGCTCTTAAAATCGTAAATGAAAATAATCAAGTATTCAGCTATTTTAAAGGTATGAAAAATATAAATAGCGTAAACTAAAAACTCTGTTAATCTATTATTTGAAATTGTCAGTCAATAAAAGATTGACATTGAAATACTATCAATTTTTTATAACTTGTAATACACCCTTCATATTCAGAGATTCGAAGTAAAAGGAATATAAATATGTGGTAATTTTAAAACTCACTTTAGCTCCACATGCCAAAAGAATCCTAATTTCATCCAAAGGTACCATCCTTATTATAGAATCCGCCAATTCCCTCTGTAGAGGGTTTGTAATGCACTCCGTAGGCATCTGAAAACAAAATAAAACAATAATTTATTAATTTTGGACATAAACAACAAATTTTCTTAATATAATAGTTAGACCATCAAAAATAATAAATTTTAAACAGGTGGGCTATAACTCGTAAAAACAAATACATGTCACATGAATGGAAAATTTCACCATCTAAATAACGGAAAGTTAATAAAGTAAAACAAAATTATGCCAGCGTGTGACTACGAATATATTATATCTGATAACCATTGATTTAACATTGGCTCTAAAGAGAATTGAGAGAGCTGAGGAAGGGAAGAATGTCAGTACAACGACTGGAGTTGTGATATTTTGAATTTCGTTAATTCGACCGTCTCAGCTATGTGCTGCGATAGCCTAATGGGTAAAGATATCGAGACGTAAACTCGGAATTCCAGGTTCGATCCATGGCTTGGAAAAATGTTTTCTTCTCTTTCTAGCTTTTTTAATTTTTCTTTGGTTTGTTTTCACCTTGAGATTGTGGTGATGGATTCATTAATTTCGTAGGGGGAATTGGAGGGTTTTTGTTTTTACATTTTCAAATGCATCCTAAAGTTTTTGAATCTTTAACAGATAATTTCTCCATTCTTCATTTTGTCACACTGGTTTTTTTACTAAATTGAGTTACTGCTCAATTTATTTTTAACTTAACTTTTACAGTTTAACTATACAACTATACAACATTAACGTAAACTGTAACGTCAGGATCATCGACTTATATAGCCCCGTTGAACCTTCTCGGACCATCCAGATACTTCTTGACACAAAATAACATTTCTTTGTTCTCTTCTCTTCTTTTATTTATCCACCGTAGGGTGCAGGGTAACAAAATTATAAAACTGTTGCAATGTTATCTTGTAACTTTTGTCAAAGACTCTAATAAGAGCGTAGTGCTTAAATTATTGGTTGGAGGTGGTTTTAAGAATATAATAGTTGGCACATTTATAAAACAATTTTGTGAAATCGCCTTAAAAATGTTCTTAACACGTTAAGCCTCACGCTAGGTCAGCTGTTCGACCCTTGGGATCAAACTTTTATTAAATAAGTAGACTGGAAGGGGTGTATACACTACTGGTTAAATGTAAGTGGAATGAATATGCCAGGGTGTAAAAATTTAATTTTTTTTATTAAAATTTAATTTTTTTTATTAAAATTAGTCTGAGAGCTTTTGGCTTATAAAGTCATCAGCAAAGCCGCCTTAAAAGGCGTTACAAACACTAATTTAATAATTAACAGATAATAAACTTACGTCTAAGACACCTTCTACTTCAATCAAAAATAACAACTTAATGTATTTTTTGATTGATTCTTTGGGGAAGGTCTTAGACGTATGTTATGTTGGGAATGGGGTGTTAATACACTTCAACCTAAAAAAAGACACTTTCAGTCCTATATTCTCAAGAAAAAGTAGGATTTGGAGTGGCTTCTTCTATTTGATATGATCCTATGCATAGTGCCCTTGGATTCTGGAGTGCTACACATTCAGTCAGAATTTAATTAATTGTTTCGTCTTCCTCCTCACAGAATCTGTACTCATTATCCTTTACTACTTTGAATTTACTTTGGTGTGCTTTGAAATGGCCATGCCCAGTAAGGATCCCTGTTACAATGCGTAGCCTGTTCTTGCTCAGGCAGATACAGGCTTCCTATCTTTTTTGGTTATATTTATCCAGAAGTATCTTAGCCTGTCTTAGTCCCAAGAGATTGTTTCAATTATCGGTTCTTCTACTGCCCAAGTATTTTTTAATCTATCCTTATAATGTTTTGCTGCCGATACCGCAGAACAGCTCAGGTCACACAAAGGATGTCTGAGTTCCTATCCTTGCGAGACTGTCCTCAATCTCGTTATCCTTTACCCAGTTATGTCCCAAGGCCCAAGTGAAACTAACTGTATTTTCTTCGCCTAGCTCATTCGGTTTTTCTAGACATCTCCAAACAATTTTTGAGCTGATTTCTTAACAGCTCAGCGCTTTGATAGCCGCTTGGCTATTGGACATGATGATAATCTCTTGTCTCCGATATTTTCTCTCGATGTTAAATTAAATACACTTCTCAATGACATGAATTTCTGCTTTTAAAGTGGTTCTAGGCCAATACACTCCTATTCCAGTTCCTTTTATGGTTTTGGAACCATCCACGGCCTTATTCGTTCTTGCAGCCCAGCTCTGTGGTTTTGAAGATTTTTATAAAACTGTACATTCATTTCATCCTGGCATATCTCAAGTATCTTCGGTACTAAAGTTAGTAGACTTTCGTCTGATTATACCGTTCATGATTTTCTATATCGTGTACTTTTTGCCACATTTTCTATCATTAAATGTAAAGGGGTGAGGTTTAAGATCACCTCCATTGCGGCTGTAGGACAGTTTCTCATTGCACCGGTGATACAAACACCAGCTAGTCTTTGCTCTTTTGAGATGTTAGCTCTCGTAGTAGCTAAACTGGTTATGTTACTCAAGGCTATAGCCCCGTAAGTGATGATTGGTCTTACTATTGCTGTATACACCAATTGCAGTGTGTTTGGGTTACATCCCCATCTTATACCCGCAATGTTTCTGCAATGTTTCTGGAATATTTATGCATACCTTTCGATGATAGACGTAAGTTTCTTTTAATATTTAAATTGTTAATTTGTAACGCCTATTAGAACGGCTTTGATGATGGCTTTGTAAGCGGAATGCACTTGGTCATTTTATTAAAAAAATTAATTTTTACACACTGACGTAATCATTCCACTTATATTTCAAACTTTTGTTGCCACTTTTTTTATTTACAATAGTTTCTTTTTACCTATTTCGGTTTATTTCAGTTCTTACCAGTGCTTACCCGTGGGCACGTCGGCCCGTGACTTAAATTTATATCGTGGCACCACATGCCCACCCAATGTCGTTTCTTTCTCGATATATTTACGTTTATTTTTTGTAGTATGAATAGATACCGAAATATTTTAGTTGTAAGAGTTTTCAATTTTTTAAGTACGAGTAGCTTCAATATTTTGGTTTTAGGATTACAGTGATTTTTTAACTAAACTTTTATTTCTTTTACTAATTAGTATTTCAGTTTAATTTTTTATTTGTAACTAATGAAAATAATTTCTTTACGTTTTTCACAACTCAAAATTTATAATTAATTCATCTATTCTGCTCGGTCCACGTGCGGTTCTGTTGTCCCCTGGGGTCAACTTAATCCGCTAACATACATAAATTCTATATAAAAACTGAACACAAGAGTTACTTGAAATGCAAGTTGTTGGGTATCCACGGGTCCAGACCGTAAATCGGATAATCTTTACCGTTGGGCACATGTGGCTCAATGTGTTAAAACAAAATAAATAATTGTACTTTAAATAATACTATCTTATTATCTATGACTGAAATAAAATGAAATGTTTAGTTATGAAATGTTATGAACTATATGATGAAACACTGTTGTTACGGTAAAGCAACTACTATTGGAATGTATAACATACAACAATAAGAGACAACAAAACAATCTACCTAATTCAATGTGGCCTTCTTATATAGATAAAAATTGTGATAAAGGAACTAATGCCAAATATTTGCATAATATTTATATCCTTATTTATTTGTCTAATAATAAATTGGTTTTCTTATTATTTGAAACTATAAAGAAATTAACAAAAATCCTAAAAAGAATTTATTAATGTTTTAACTTAATATTTACAATAAAACACACGTATTGAAATAAAACAAATAATTAGGTTATTACTCTAGTCAATGGCTTACATTGAACCCTAACTCCCGAGACACCGTAATGTGTAAAGAAAAGTGTTGTGCAGCGATTTATGTACTATAGTTAAATATCTTTAACTTATTTTAAAAGTATTGTTGTGTTTTGTTTTTTGATAATCAATGGATTACATATAAATGCCTATTTTTTTTTAATTTTCGTTCCGAGTATTATATTGGTAAAGTTTCCAGTGATATTTTAGTTGTTAATAATTCCAAATTATTATAATTCAATAGGAAGTTTATCTAGTTTGGATATATTATTAAATCATGCTTTATTTCCTAAATATAATTTGATTTATTTATTCTCGAGATTATTAGTCATTTTGTACTTATTTTAAATTAGGCGCCTAGATGCAAAACCAGATATATCCATCATAAAAAACTGTAATTTTTACAATTTACAGTTTCTCTATGAATTTTCAATATAGGGGGTTAAAATATGATTTTTGTTAATATTTTCTTGAAAACCGTAGATTTTTATCGAAGTTTAAAGATATTAACCCGAAAAATAAAATTAAAATATTTGGTTTTAAAAGTTGGAATAAAAAATATATTATTTTGAATTTCGCTCGACTTATAGTTTCTTATTATAGCGTTATTATTAAAGAGACCTATCGTAATAGGCAATAATAAGTGAAGGTCTTTAAAATTTTTATGAACAAATTAATTATAATTTAAATAAGAATAGTAGTTACACAAATTTATTGTCGTCCACTTGAGACTCACAAATGAGCTCTTCTTGAGATTCTTCTACTTCTTCATTGCCACGGTTTTCATCGCATAACACATCTTAAGGGTAACACTAGATTTTTTTGACAGTCTTATGACACGGTTAGCATCTCAGCCTTCTCTTCTTTTAGCAGATAAAAAAAGCTTTTTCTTTTAGCTTATGGATTCTACTTTCCGTCATTAATTCCTGTTTCTGATTTAAATCTCTTGTGTTTTTAATTCTAGATTGAAGTTCTAAACATCTTCAGCATACGTCAGTTTGGGGAGCATTTAATCCTAAATTAAATTTTGTGTTAAACAATGCTCTAAAGAAACTTTCTTTCCCTGCTTATTCATTTTCAACATTTTATTAATGCTTAAATCGTTTGAAATATATTCTCTGGAACTGTGATCTCGACAGTAATGACTCTCGACTATAGAAATGGTCTTAAGTCCATAATTTAATTTTTTTTTGTGTAAATTTTTGTTCTTCACCCTGTCACCACCGCGATTTTCCCAAGCATAGTTCCAGTTGCAAGAAAACGTTTTAGCACGCCATTGACTCTGTTATAACTTAAATTTAGAAAGGTATTCTTGAAAACTGAAATTAAATCATTTGTTACGCGTAAAAATAAACAAATTTACCTTTTCTCTGATGCAAGATTACTTTTCAATAATTTTTATTTACAACTTTGTTTCTGGTTAAATCGGTGGTTCTTTCAGTTAGGACACTCATATTCACAACTTTACAGTTACAAAAACCAAAAAAACACTTTGAATATTGATCAACAAAACGCCTAAGCGATCCTCTCCCCACAGTTTACAATAAAACTAATAATATTGATTTAACCAACAATAACGTCACTGCAAATTGGATATAATTGCTTATGATTGTTTCGAAATATTCCGCATGAAGACCATAAATGTGGACAATATCTGATTTTGCACGTTACTGGATTTTGGTTAGACTTGCAATCGATGCGGTATTGTCATATTTAAAACATCGATACATTTCCCGCAAAAATTTAAAAATTGGAAATATCTAGTTTTGCTTCTAGGCACCTCAAATATACATTTGTTACTGTTTTAATACTTATTATTTTCTCCGCCCCTTTCCAAAAATAAGTTATGAAATATTCCAAGCATTTGTGAAGCATCTGCGTTTCTACTTCCTTAGGACTAGAATGATTCTGTAACTTGTTGCCAAAGCCGCTTGACTATGCAATTAAGGGATAATTTTGTTTCTTTTATTTTATTTTTTTAATATTTTTATTTTCCACTGGTGAATGGATGTTCGTTCTGGACTCCAGGACCTTTTGGCTGATGACAATAACTAAAGACCTATCAGTAGTTACAAATGGGTCCTTAGGCTAGTTGGATGTTACTTTTGTACTAGTTATTATCAAAATTTGTTTCAAAATTGTAGCTGAAATTAACATTTAGGTAATAAAATTTTCCAATGAAAAAATTTAACAGCTGTTGCAATTTGAAAACAGAACTGGATGTGAATCATAAATTTAAATCACATGCACTGACGTTAGAAACATTCAACATCCAAATTTCACACACGCATAATTCCATTCATTTCCAAAAAACCTTTCACATACTCACATAAGTTCTGGTCAAATAATAATTACTGTTGTGAGACACCAAATTAAATAACAACTTTCGCGTGCGACTTTTTTTCATTGTTCTCCCGTTCTCTTTTTTCGAAATTAACTAACGTTCAGTTTGAAATTTCAAATTATTATCGTGATACAAATCGTAAAACTGTTCCAAGTTTTGAATCCCGGTGGTCGTTGTTGCGTTATGCTTGGTTATTTTTAAATTTTTAATGACGTTTTTTGCTCTCTAATAAACAAAAATGGTTTTCGGCAATTATCTCGATTGTCTTCACTTGTGCCCGGCATCAATTTAATCAAAATCGGTTTATTTGATATACGAGGAAATCGTGAAACAAAGGAATTATTATCATGTATTCATATATAGATAATACAAGAGACAACAGAGACGTGAACCTTGATAGAAAAATTTGTTCGATGTTCCAATTAAAAATTAAATGTATGACTTTCTTTCTCTTTTACATTGATGTTCATATAAATATTTATCCCTTTTCAATAAAACTCTAACCAGTGCTACAGGTCGCTGATGTTGCTGGTTTTTGACTTTGTCGACGTGTAACTTATATACTAAAACTGACAACTTTATGCCCTTATAGAAGGCATAGCATATAAATATATTGATCCTATTAACCATAAGAAGAGTTAGCAGATGGGTGTATGAAATGGGTCTAGCAGGTTTCGATCCAGTTTACAGGATGATAATTTACCCGACTCGGGCCTTATTTATCTGTGTGAGTGTATGTCTGTTTATTTCGTTTCCATGGTTTCTATTAAAATAAACAATCTTGGTTTTATACAAAGAGGTTAGAAAGGGTAGAGCACGGGGTTTATATCATATGCACAATACGTAAACACGTTTCTGCGCATGTAACTCCGCGCTTGGGTGCTCTGAAGTCCGTTTTACAATAGCAAAATTGTATTAAAATGTAAAGCACTTTGATTAATTTAATAACATCTCGTTCAGTAACACACAAAAAGTGTTGTTTCAAAAATTTTAATTAATATATTACAACAAACTAAAAAGAACATGCCTTCACTTAGTTATTTACACTATGTGAAGATGGCTTTCTGTCCGCTGCATAACTGCTGGCTGCCCGCTATAGCGGGACCCGCGCGCGCTGTCAACAAATAACATCAAAATCAAACAAATGTGTGGTTATGTTATGGTTTTGGTTGTCGACGAAAACATGTGAGTGGAACTACTTTTATTTATTTTTTTAGATATGTTATTTAGGATTATTTAAAATCAAGTAAAGGTATTTTGATGCTTTAACATGTCTTTACCAGGCAGAATTCATTATAAACGCATAATTTCTAATTATTATAGTACATTTTATAAGGTACATTTCAAACGTAAATTTTAAGAACAAACATTTTTAAATTTCCTTGTGATATTGATCAAAGAAATGAATGGTGTCGTATTTTAAACATTCCACTCATTCCACTTACAACCAATCATTATACATTATGTGAAAATCATATTTTGATACAAAACCGTTTACAAACACATATCGTTCACGGCTGCTAAAAGATTTGCTTTGCTTTGCTTTAGCATCCTCAAAACCAGATAGTAGTACTTAGTAATATTGTTATCACACCTACAGAGTCCTGTGAAGATAAAGTTCATTTTAATAATATATACAAAATTAAAGAAGCAGAATTTGAGTCAAGCCACTAGTTATGTTGCAGGGTTTATTAAGAAACTTAATAGTTTTGACTGCAATGAGTGTAAAGTTAATTTACAGACATGTTAGAAGACCATCGATACTTTTACTTATTTTAAAGAAAATGATGGTAAAAGACGTTTTATTTATGTACAAAGAAATGTTATTGAATTTCTTTAAAAAATTCATAATATAGTTTTACCACTATAGGGTTATATTGACAACATAATTCAAAAAATTAAACTTTTTTTGCCAGACCATGTTGATTTTAAATGGTTTACATCAGAGCCGAATCGTAGCCTAGTCTATGAGGAGACTACTTTTAAAAGGCACACCCTATATACTTAATAAAAATATATATCTATAAGAATACAAAAAGCAGAAATATTACATTGTATTCTAATAGAAATATGTATTTGTATAAAGTATATAGGGTGAGCCAGCCTTCTTGCAGACTAGGCCACGAGCCGTCTCTGGTTTACAATATAAAGAACATAAAACAGACGTCTTTTTTCATTTAGTTAAAACTTGTCTACTATTAATAATAAGAAAGTATTATAATGATAGTATGAGGGCTGCTGCAATGTCTAAAAGACAAACAAAATGATTTGAAGTTGCTGCATTTAATTTTTTTCTGTTTCAGTTTATATGGATGGTTGCTTTTGTCTTATTTCCTAAGATTCAAGAAGAATTTGTTGTTTTGTTTTTTGTTTATTTTAAAAATTTATTTACTTAGGCATTAGTTTTCATATCAAGTAAATTAATTATTTGTTGTGCAATTTCTGATTTTTGTTAGCCAAAGATAGTTAACGTACCGAAATAGTAATGCAATGTTTGTGATATTAACTTTCTTAAAGAATCATTTATAAGACGACCGGGAGCACCAAAGTAAATAATAATAATAATAATAATAATAATAATAATAATAATAATAATAATAATAATAATAATAATAATAATAATAATAATAATAATAACAATAATAATAATAATAATAATAATAATAATAACAATAATAATAATAATAATAATAATAATAATAATAATAATAATAATAATAATAATAATAATAATAATAATAATAATAATAATAATAATAATAATAATAATAATAATAATAATAATAATAATAATAATAATAATAATAATAATAATAATAATAATAATAATAATAATAATAATAATAATAATAATAATAATAATAATAATAATAATAATAATAATAATAATAATAATAATAATAATAATAATAATAATAATAATAATAATAATAATAATAATAATAATAATAATAATAATAATAATAATAATAATAATAATAATAATAATAATAATAATAATAATAATAATAATAATAATAATAATAATAATAATAATAATAATAATAATAATAATAATAATAATAATAATAATAATAATAATAATAATAATAATAATAATAATAATAATAATAATAATAATAATAATAATAATAATAATAATAATAATAATAATAATAATAATAATAATAATAATAATAATAATAATAATAATAATAATAATAATAATAATAATAATAATAATAATAATAATAATAATAATAATAATAATAATAATAATAATAATAATAATAATAATAATAATAATAATAATAATAATAATAATAATAATAATAATAATAATAATAATAATAATAATAATAATAATAATAATAATAATAATAATAATAATAATAATAATAATAATAATAATAATAATAATAATAATAATAATAATAATAATAATAATAATAATAATAATAATAATAATAATAATAATAATAATAATAATAATAATAATAATAATAATAATAATAATAATAATAATAATAATAATAATAATAATAATAATAATAATAATAATAATAATAATAATAATAATAATAATAATAATAATAATAATAATAATAATAATAATAATAATAATAATAATAATAATAATAATAATAATAATAATAATAATAATAATAATAATAATAATAATAATAATAATAATAATAATAATAATAATAATAATAATAATAATAATAATAATAATAATAATAATAATAATAATAATAATAATAATAATAATAATAATAATAATAATAATAATAATAATAATAATAATAATAATAATAATAATAATAATAATAATAATAATAATAATAATAATAATAATAATAATAATAATAATAATAATAATAATAATAATAATAATAATAATAATAATAATAATAATAATAATAATAATAATAATAATAATAATAATAATAATAATAATAATAATAATAATAATAATAATAATAATAATAATAATAATAATAATAATAATAATAATAATAATAATAATAATAATAATAATAATAATAATAATAATAATAATAATAATAATAATAATAATAATAATAATAATAATAATAATAATAATAATAATAATAATAATAATAATAATAATAATAATAATAATAATAATAATAATAATAATAATAATAATAATAATAATAATAATAATAATAATAATAATAATAATAATAATAATAATAATAATAATAATAATAATAATAATAATAATAATAATAATAATAATAATAATAATAATAATAATAATAATAATAATAATAATAATAATAATAATAATAATAATAATAATAATAATAATAATAATAATAATAATAATAATAATAATAATAATAATAATAATAATAATAATAATAATAATAATAATAATAATAATAATAATAATAATAATAATAATAATAATAATAATAATAATAATAATAATAATAATAATAATAATAATAATAATAATAATAATAATAATAATAATAATAATAATAATAATAATAATAATAATAATAATAATAATAATAATAATAATAATAATAATAATAATAATAATAATAATAATAATAATAATAATAATAATAATAATAATAATAATAATAATAATAATAATAATAATAATAATAATAATAATAATAATAATAATAATAATAATAATAATAATAATAATAATAATAATAATAATAATAATAATAATAATAATAATAATAATAATAATAATAATAATAATAATAATAATAATAATAATAATAATAATAATAATAATAATAATAATAATAATAATAATAATAATAATAATAATAATAATAATAATAATAATAATAATAATAATAATAATAATAATAATAATAATAATAATAATAATAATAATAATAATAATAATAATAATAATAATAATAATAATAATAATAATAATAATAATAATAATAATAATAATAATAATAATAATAATAATAATAATAATAATAATAATAATAATAATAATAATAATAATAATAATAATAATAATAATAATAATAATAATAATAATAATAATAATAATAATAATAATAATAATAATAATAATAATAATAATAATAATAATAATAATAATAATAATAATAATAATAATAATAATAATAATAATAA